GATTGGATGAGGTTCATTCACATTATAGAGAGTAATCTACTTTAACTCAGTCTACACATTTAAAAGTTAATCTCTTCCCAAACATATTTTCACAGATATGTTTAAACTGATTGTTGGTCCAATATCTGGGTACCATGGCCTAGCTAAGTTGATAAATAAAATTAGCTCTTATATAAGACTTCTTTTTGATCATAAAAATGTTAAGTACCTCAAAGATTTTTTTTTGAGGGGGTTATGTTGAATGATGCTTATTTTGTTATAAGTTAAAATAGAAATTATAAATGTATATTAATTAACTTAAAATAACTATAACAAGCTACATTTTTAAAATAAATGAAATTTTAATGAAAAGTCTATATGATATTTACAATGAAAATTAATGAAAAGAATGACATTATGGTACATTTTTTGTAAAATCTCTATATAACCTGGCTTAATAGAGTGTCTCAGGAGCAAACCTTTCCTTTTCTTTTTCTTCCTTAATAGAAAAAGAAATTCATTTATTTTATTAGTTTTGTCAAAGAACCATTTTAGTCTTTGTTGATTTTTCATTATACTAATGTATAGTTTTCATGCATAACACAATTTTCAGCCTGTCTTTTTATTATAAACAGGTAAAAATACTAATTTCCTTTAAAAATATTGGCTTTGCTAGATGCTATGGTTTTCATATACTGTGTTTTCATTCAATTGTAATGGTTTTCAAACTTCTTGGTATGAAAGTTATTTAAAACTGTGCCTTAAAATTTGTAAATGTATAGATTTTTTGAAAATATAAAATGTTGATTGTAACTTAATCAAATTGTGGTCGGGAAATAGTCTCTACAATAACAATTCTATTGAATTTGTTGGCTTTGTTTATGACTTGCTATATGGTTTATTTTTATATGTTCCTGTAGGTCATTGAGAAGATAGTCTTGATTGATTTGGTAGAGGATTTTATATATAGCAATTAAGACTTACAATTTTTATTTTTCAAATAGCCTATATCACTATATTTTAAAATAGAAAGCTAGGAAAAGTTGTATAGATCTTTCACTAGAACATTTGTTTCTATGGTTCCAGTATTATTTGCCTTTTATCAGTTAAGGTACATTTAATATTTGTATATAATTTAGTTGTTAAACCTTTCTTGGAAAAAAAACATATCTAAGGACTCATTTTAATTCTGATAACACATTTTTGCTTTAAAGTCTTTTTATTGAATATTAAAATATCTATTTAATTTTTCTTAACTTTAAACTTTTGTTTGTTTTAGGAATTTAGGGTGCCTCTTGTAAAAACATGTACCTGAATTTCTTCCTTATTAGCCAAACTAAAAAATCTTTATTTTTTAAGCTTCCAGTTTGGCCCATTCATATGTAATGGGATTATTCACACATTGGGATTTCTTTCTACAATCTTACTCTTGGTTTTCTATTTGTATCATCATCCTAGTGGTTATTAACCTTTCCTGTTTCTGAAGGCTATATTAATATAGATGATTGAAATTATTACCTTTCATGCCCATTTCTTTGTCTGATACTGTTTATAAGTTATGTGCTCTATTCCTCTTCTTCTGTTTGTTGCTCTTGACATTTTAGCATGCAGACTTAATTTAGCAAAGTCTGTAACTAATCAATGTTGCTGTTAATATTATTGTTATTTTGACTTTTCAAAGCATTTTAATTCAATTTTAATCTATGGAAATATTTGAATTTACTTAAATGTCTATCAAATTCTTTGTTCATCCTTCCTAATCTCAGGTCTTCCTTCTGGAATCTTTTCCTCCTCCTGAAGGAGAAGACTACTTTGGTTAGCTGACCATTTTTATTTGTTTTTGTTTTAAGAAAGATCTTTAATAATTACAGAGTAACTATATTTCCTCTTAGCTATTTATCTTTTTTGTTCTTTTTGGCAGTACTGGGGTTTGAACTCAGGGCCTCAATCTTGCTAGGCAGGCATTCTATCACTTGAGCCATTCCACCAGTTCTTCTAAGTTATTTGAAAGACATTTGTCTCTGTGTCTTATTTGCTTGTGATGCTGTTCAAATGATTTGGAGGTAATAATATATACGTTGCATGATAGTACTTCTAACTCAGTAATCACAATATAAAAAATAACTTTCTTCCTTTCCCTTCTCTTCTTTAATAATTATTATGTTGCTTATGGTACTCTTGAGTTCACTAAAATATACTTAAGCATAGATTTCTTTTAATTAACACTGTTTATCAGATTTGGTATACATTTTTCCCAGACTCTGTGGTCTTAAATTTTCTTGTTTTCTGCATATTCTCAACCTTTAAGTTTTTTAAAGGTTTTATTTCCGTCCTCTTCTGGGATTTTAGATACAAAACCACATTTTTTTTATATTCTATCTTCCATATTTTTTAACTTTTATAACTGTCTATTTTTAGTAAGGGTATTTTTCAGGTTTAATATTCAGTTAACTTACTTTTTTTTCTGCTGCTAATCTGTTATTAACCTATTAAATAATATTGTAATATCTATAATTAGATTTTTTAACTTTGTAAATGTTTTAATTTTTCAGATTTGCTGATTTAGTTGATAACCTTTTATTCTTTGATCATTTTTATTTCATCAGTTTATACATTTATTGTTTTTTGTACTTTTATAATTAATGACTTTCAATTACCTTTGTTGATTTTTTAAGCTCACCCTCAATAATAGCATTTTATTTCCCATTTTGTGTTTGACAAATTTTTTCTAAGCTCATATTTAATTAATTTTTATTTATGGAACACAAGGGCCTAAACTGGGTTGACTTAGGCTGACTACCAACAACCTAGATTCAATGTCTTGGTCAACTTTTGCTATCATTAACAAAATGCCATAGACTGGATGCCTTAAATAACAGAAATTTATTTCTCACAGTTTTGGAGACTGGAAGTCCAAGATTAGGGTGGCAGCATGACTGGATTTTCTTGGCTTATAGGTAACTTCCTTCTTGCTGTGTCCTGACAAGACAGGGTTAGAGTGAGCTCCAGTCCCTTTCTCTTACATGGACGCTAATCTTTTTATTTATGGAATCTCACACTCATGAGGCCACACTTCCAAATACCATCACATTAAGAATTTATTTTTTCAATAAAGGAATTTTGATAATGGGAACACATTCAGCTCATAACAGCCACTTTTGCTCTTTTTTGGGGTTATGGCTCCTTCTATTTGTGTGGAGCCTTGGAAACCCTGACATTTGCATCTCTGTAAGCTCACATTTTGAATTTTAGTGCACCCTTACCACTCTTCCCCCTTCTCCCTCTCTCTCTCTCTCTCTCTCTCTCCTGTCTCAGCTACCAGAGTCAAAGTACACAGTTTTTTCTATTTCAAATCATGCAGTCTGAATAGTAAAAACATTTCAAAACAATATTCAGAAATCTATATTCTTTTAATTTTAGATTTAGAAGAGTTCACACACATGGGCTATACTCTTAACACATTAAAAACTTATGAGAGTATTATTTATTATAGGCTAACTCTCAGTTTATGGCACTTATAAAGAAATAACACTACTTCATTTGAGCTGTAGTTATTCCAGTTAGGATTTCTGTTTCTCCTGGCATATGGTTTAAAGTAAGGGAGAACTATATAAGTGTTATACAAGATGGTTTTGCAGATTCAGGTAGAAATACACCAAAGTAATTCTTACCCTTTACTATGACTAGTCACTAATAGCCTTTTAGCCAATCAAAAAGATAGATTTGAGAAAAAGACAACACGGATTTTTTTAGTTTTTGTTTGCTTGGATTCTTTTAGACAAATGTATTGTTTGATGTTCAGTATTAACTAAAGTTCTAAATGGCAAACACATGTACAAATAAACAATTGCTACAAAGCAAAGATTGGTTTTTTTTTCCTATTAATTAAGGACTTCCAGTTATGTAGCAATTTTTCAACTATGCTTCACTCTATAATCCACCATCTCTGAAGTACCTTCAAGTTCTCCCTCTCAGTGGTGGTTGTTTCTCCTGTGAAGAAACTTCTTTTCCTCAGCATACAAATAACCAACCATACAAGTAAGCAAACATTTTCTATGATCTTGTCATTTCCTCTTTTAGAGATTCTGGGTACTTTTTCTTCTCCATTTACAGCACAACTTTATTCATGTATTTAGCCATTCATGCATTTATTCATTCTGAAGCATTTACTGAGCACCTGAACTGGTCAATTATAATGCTTGATGTTATAGAAACTGAGAGGAAAAAATTTATTTCTGTATCACAAAATGTAGTCTGGGGAGGAGAGCAAAGAGTAGTTAATTATTATTTAATAGGTGAAAGTTACTAAAGGAACACATTAAAAGAACATATAGCACAGAGTCTGTGCAGAAGATGATGAAAGCAGAAAATTCTTACAGCTGGTATTTCACCAAATAAATTAGATTTTTCTGATTATTGACTCATTTCTTAAACTAGCTTTTGTGTCAACTGTTTGAAAGCACTGCCTTTTAAATATCTACTAGTAACCTAAATTGAAAATTCTTTGGCTCCTACTCAACTACCCAGTATTTCAAATCTCTTTCATGATCTACTCATGTCATCTTGTTCCCAATTCTCTTCTTCCTCCATCATCCAAACTGTTCTCTTGGAGCATTTAACTAATGCAAACATTAGTCAGCAATGGTGACTTATTAAATTGTATTGTGTTTGAACAATGTCTTAGCCCCCAGGTAAATTATCGTCATTTCAGGTCACCTTACCTATAGAGCCTAACAAATAACTTTGAACCCAGCACGTACTGACAAAAACACTAATTTTGAGAATAATCTATAAAATTAACCTGAAAACTGCATAGTACCAGTTTCATCATTTGAATTACTGAACAATTCAAGTAAGTAATTAGTAGATCCAAATAAGATCATAAGCTTTAGTTATGTAGATCTGTCACTAAAAGTAAAAAAAAAAGATACACATTACTCACAAGGATATAGTCATTTATTAAAAAGTAAGTAATTATGAATTTTTTTAAACAAATTATCTTTTTGTGTTCTTGCAAACAGTGGTAACAAGTTGGCTACTGCAAGTGGTGACACTACAGTTAAGTTATGGGACCTCTCGAAAGGTGATTGCATTTTGACCCTTGAAGGACACAACCATGCAGTATGGTCTTGCACATGGCACTCCTGTGGCAGTTTTGTGGCTTCTGCCTCACTGGATATGACTAGCAAAATCTGGGATGTTAATAGGTAAGAAATCCTTTAAGCATTAACCATCTATGTTGATATGTAAACATAAGTAAAATTTTTTTTTCTCCCCTCGATGCTGCCACTGGGAAACATTGAAATAAACCCTTGATAAAATTGTAGAGAGCTACTTCAATAATCTTAGTGAAATCCATTTCTAACACCATTAGTCTTTGTTGATATAATAATTCCTTTTTAAAAGTAGGTAGCAATCTGTAAAAAGATTAGAATTGCTTCATTGGGAAGCTGTTTGTTTTAAGCAGGATAAAAATAAACACTTTAAAGAGATAGATTTTTAGTTCTGCCTTCTGTAGGCATGCTGTACTATGTCTCATGTACATGTCTCTGTACTATGGAATTTAATTTAATGGACTTGGTTATAATGGAAATAATTGCTTAATTTATGCTTCATCTTGATACATTACAGTGTTTTCCCTAATTGAATGCTTTTCCAGAAACTCACAAATTGTAAGAAACAACGCAATGTATTGTACACAGTCCCTTTATGTGCAGGTCAAAGTCTTATGTTTTGATCTTAATTCAAGATAGAGAAATAAATCCATTATCTTTGCTGTATCAATATTCCTGTCATCTATGTATTTTTGAATGATTACTATAATCTATTAAGTACATAAGTATGAAACAAAAAGGTTAGTTAAGCTACTATCAAACATCCTAATTGCTTCAGCTAAGAGATTAAAGCCATCTGTCAAACTTCTCATCACTTTTATCATTGAAACAGTGCCCAGGCCCCAAAATAAAGATAATGCTTCTTGAACATTTAGGCAAAAAAATTGTCATGCTTCAATGTAATTTATTTTGTAAAGACTGGGATTGTTCAATTATGTGTACTACAGACACCTTAAGTAATCTTTTTCTAGTCTTCCTTGAATTATGAATGATATCTTAAGAGCAGAGAGCAAATAGGTGCTTGCAAAAGTCAATGGCTTTGTTTCTGAGAGGATTCAGTGAGAGAGTGTACTAAATTCTATGCAGATGATTTTCCAAAGCCTCTTGGCTATTATTAAGCTCTTTTCTTTCAGCACCAAACTCAACTTGCTGTGCTCTGCTGTTGTGATGCAGGAGGTGGACTCTGCAGACCACTCTGCTGACTATCAGACTTCTGTCAGTAGGGGTGGGTGTGGAAGACTTCAAGTCTGGGGGTGAGAAGGGGTCTTACGCTTCCTGTCTCCTCCCTGAGGCGTCTTGTGGAGTTGCCTCACCCCAGTCCTACTTCACCTCAGCCACAGCTCTATTTTCACCACAACAGCAGAATCCAGCTGGTTGATTTTATTTCAACATGTGTGGAAACAGCCTCATCAGAGCATCATCAAAAGCACTGGCCTCAGCAAACAGGTGAACAGGTGCCCCTACTCAAGTTTGCCAGACTCTGAGTTTTAATTCTTTTTTATTCCTATTGTTCACTCATCCCTAGAGTTACTAGGGCTTTCCTGAAGTTGCTTTCTCCATAATTCTTCAGTGTTCTCTTTTCCTCATTTTAGTTATTTAGTTAACTTATATAGCTAGCAATCCTGTCTATTAAAATCTTATTTTTAAAATGATGGTTCAAGTTCTGTCCCTGACCGGGCAGTGGCAGGTGCAAGAATAGATGGATAAATAGCATAATCCACTTGAATTTTAAAGCTACAGCTAAATAAATTTTGGCATGCTCTGTATGAGAAAGCATGGCTCTAAATGACACATTTTGAACTATTTCTAGCTAAACTAGTGACAATTTAAGACATATTAATTCTCAAATGAGAACATTTTATCTGTTATAATCACATATAATTCTTAATTCTATTATTCTTTTATATCATATGGCCATGTTTCATAAATATTTATTATAATAGGTTACTAGAATTTTAACTATGCTAATTTTAATCTTTATCACTGTTGAATTAGATGAAGATCCTAACAGAAGATTGTAGTCCATTCTAAAATATGATACATCTTCAAAACCCTTAAACATTTCCACATGACCCAGATATCCAAATACTCTCTTCCCATTAAGGTACAGTAGATATTGACATAAGAGATAAAAATTGTTCCTGATTGATGTCAAGGTTGTTTAAATTTCAAGTTTTCTATCAATGTCAAGAGTTCACTTTTAATACAAATAAATATATATGTGTATATATTTATACACATACACATATGTACATCTACACACACATATATACATAAATATATATATGTATATATGCTAATTTTGAAGTTAATGTAGTGGGGAAAATCTTGACAAATAAGGGAGAGATTATTTCTATTGCAGCCATTGATATATCTTTCCAAGTTATAATCAAAATACCAAGTTCTAATTTGTAATACTCATGATAAACACTGTACATGTCCAAAACTAGTGTTTTGCTTTACAATTTCATAGGTAACTTAAACTGATATAGTTGCATAAGGAGAAGAGGTTATTTACTTTAGTGAGATGGTATTGGTGGAATCTGTGTTCTCTGGGTCTAATACTCTTTTTTTTTATGTGGTACTGGAGTTTGAACTCATACTGGCTAGGCAGATACTCTGCCACTTGAGCCATTGATCTTTTTTGTTTTAGTTATTTTTCAAATGAGGTTTTGTGTTTATTCCTCATCTGGCCTGGACTGTGATCATCCTATTTATGCCTCCCATGAAAATGGGATAAGAGGTACATGCTTTCACACCTATTGGTCTCACTAACATGTTGTTCAGCCTGGCCTCTAATCATGATCCTCCTGATCTCTGCCTTCTGAATAGGTAAGATTACAGGTGTGAGTCACCTGTGCCTTGCGGCTAAGTCATATACTCTTACCTTGATGCCATATAATTCTTAATAAAAAAATAATTTGTACCGGTACATGCTATTGTTCACAAGAGAAGGAAGAGTTCAGGAGATATTCTCTTCTGTTCATATCCACCCTTCCTTTTTGCTTGTGGCTTAGTCCAGAATACCCTTTAGCTAAAATCATATCCCTAGCCCTGCATCTGTTCTAGAATTGGGTGTTATTTGGCAAAATCATCCAGTTAGCTTCTCACCAAAAAGTTGGATCACTGTGAAGTGCAGATAACAATTCATATTTACTAAGTGCTAATAAGAATCTCTGAATGATATCTGACCCTCCTAGTCTGCAAAGGTGCTATAAATAGTTACCAGTAGCACTTTGATGAATTCCTGAATGACCACATATATGAAGCATAGATGCACATGTGTTTCACTTAGAGATAATTGATTTTTACCTCAATTGTCAAGTGTATTCTTTAAATGTCAGTCCTAAGACACACAGACACACTTGACAACACACAAATACACACCATTGTGTCCTGAACAACAAGCTCTTGGCACATGATAATTTACTTGCACAAATGAACAAAACATAAATCAGTAAGAACATGTGAAGAAAGTATTCCAAGTGCTTTCCATCTCTCCACGTTCAAGCTGTACATGAATCTGTAAAATGATGAAAATGGGATAAGGGAGTCGGAAAGGATTTCTGTCAGCTAGAAATTTTAATTTGTGTTTATTTCTAGGCATTTGTACATAATATTAATTAATGTGTTCATGAAATGACTTAACAGTGTTGGGGTGTGTTATAGACAAAAAAAATTCAGACTCAATCACTGTCCTCAATGAAATGATAAATAATTTAAAAATGTAGCAAGTTTGAAGCAGTTGTAGAATATCCAGTGCATCCACTGTTTATAATATTACATCAGGTATTCTGGTATATTCCTGGTGCCTTTTTTTCCAAGGTAGCTGGGTATTTGTCTGAGAAGCTTTATCACACTCTCACTCTGATATTTGGAAAGCAGACCACGTGTCTGCTTAGCATGCAGCTTGAGGGAAAGAGGTTAGAAATAGCCAAAATGTTACTGAATATAGCTGCCCCAGCTGCTTTAACAAGATATTGCACAGGCAAGAATTTACTGGTTTGTGGCTGGGTAGAGTAGTTCATGCCTGTATTCCCAGCTACTTGGTAAGTCAAGATAGGAAGAACTCAGTTTGAGGCCAGCCTGGGACAAAAGTTAGTGATACCCTGTCTCAAAGAACACGCTGGTCATGGTTATACATGTCTGTACCCCATCTTTGCAAGAGGTGGTGGTAGGAGGATTGCAGACTAAAGGCAGCCAAGGTTAAAGTGCAAGACCCTATCTGAAAAATAACTAAAATTTAAAAGGGGTAGGGACATTGCTCAAGGGGCAGAGTGCTTGCTTAGCAAGCCACAAGATCCTGAGTTAAAACTCCTGTATTGCTCACCTTCCCCAAAAAATATTTTGGTGGCTTGTAACAAGGATGGAAGAGATCAGAGAGCCCTGTAAAATTCAACAGCACTTGGACCCCAAGTAGTGGGAGATAAATTTGCTTTTCTTATGTCTAAGTGTGATAGTTCAGATGCCCTTGAGATTGTGTGGAGAGAGAAAAATAAAGTAGATTTAAGAACTTTGTTCAATCTGTGATTTCTGCTGTATTATCTTACCTGAAAGCAAATGGATCAGAAACCTACAAAATTTGTAAGAGAATTGAATTGAGAAAGAACCCATGAGCTTTCTCTAAGTAGCTCTCTAACCCTTTAACTGTAAAATATTCCTAAAGGTCCCAGATTTGCATGCAAAGGAAACTGACTTCTAGCGTGGCTCAGTTCCCAAGGAAAGAATAGACCACTGTACCTCCTCCAGATATTACTGTAGAGCATACCAGACAAGGAAAGACCTACCAGAAGCCAGAAGCTACAAAAAGGAAAGGCAAGGGAGCATGCCATGGTCCAATGATGGCACAGTCTTCAGTGCTGGGGCAAAGTTCTTCATGATGCCTGCCCAGGATTCCAGCACCATTTAGAATACTGATGCTTGTGTGTTTCCTCTTTTTCTGTTTTCTGTATTGTAGTTTGTATACAGTTATTTTTTCCTTGCATTGTGTTGTTGGTGGTGATAGTGGAGATAGTTGCCATCTGACATAAGTATCCTGAACCTAAGAAGCAGCTTGTGTGTTATCCAGAGCTCATGGTCTGTATATCACATGC